CTATCGCCGCTCCGCATCGCCACTTCGTCCAATCATCTCCCGTCCTGTTGACCAATCTTCGGAAAACTAAGGATTGCAGTTTTTGGAGGGAAAACTGCGTCCCGTCGACCAACAAAAATACCTCCTGTTCGCCCAGCTAATATGTTGTCAGTGACTATTGAAGGTATTCCTGTGCAAGCTCTCGTTGACACCGGTGCAACCACTTCTGTTTTGCGTAGTGACTTGTGCTCGCGCCTCCGTAAAGTCAGAACGCCCTATGTGGGACCTGTGTTGCGTGGGGCAAATAACGTGCTGATTCAACCTGACGGACAGTGTACGGCTCGTGTTTCTATTGATGGTATACGTCACCACATCGAGATGATTGTGTTGCCCACGTGCATTCATGAACTTATCCTTGGTTGGGACTTTCTGCATTCTGCTTCCGCTGTTATATCCTTTAAAGAGAACGTCATTCACATAACGGATACAACGGATGCGCCCATTCCAGTTTCATCACCCTCGATCTCCAACTTGGTCATTGTTGAAGACTGCGTCCTGCACCCTGGTCACGAACACGTGATAGCTGTCGCATCTACCCAAGTAACCGACGGTGATGCACTGTGGCTCCTTCGTTTCGCTGCACCTCCCGTGGAATTCTCGTCGCCTCTTGCCTCCTCCGGTTTTCCTCTGGCTGCGCTTTTCTGCCCGTTTCTAACACAACTGCAGAATCTGTGCTGCTGCCCAAGGGAACGACAGTGGCAAAGATTGACTTCTCTCCATTGACCTCCATCGCGACACTCTGCCCGTCTTCGTCACCAGTACCAGCTCCAGGTTCACGTTCTTTCCCTTTTCGACCTGTCATTGGTTCAGACCTCACACCAAAACAGTCTGAAGCACTATTGGCCCTTTTGGCTAAGCACAAAGCCTGCTTTGATAGCTGTACCACAACACTGAGTCAGACTTCCGCGGCTGTACATCGCATTGAAACCGACGGTTCTCGTGTGATACGCCGTCGCCCATATCGGGTTTCGCAATCAGAGAGAGAAATAATTGAAAAAGAAGTGAACGAGATGCTATCGCGAAATATAATACGACCTTCTTCGAGTTCCTGGGCATCTCCAGTCGTTTTAGTTAAAAGAAGGATGGCTCTGTTCGTTTTTGCATTGACTACCGCGCGTTAAATAAGATCACACGCAAGGACGTATATCCTATGCCTAGAATTGATGACGCTTTAGACACACTGCAAGGGGCGAACTATTTTTCGAGCCTTGACTTACGATCAGGTTACTGGCAAATCCCCATGAACGAGGCTGACAAAGAAAAAACTGCATTTGCCACACCGGACGGCCTTTATGAATTTAATGTAATGCCATTCGGCTTGTGCAACGCTCCAGCCACGTTTGAGCGAATGATTGATACTGTTCTTCGTGGCCTAAAATGGAAGACCTGCCTCTGTTACTTAGATGATATCGTTGTTTTTTCAAGTACCTTTGCCCAACATCTTCAACGATTAGACGAGGTGCTACAATGTCTCTCCAAGGCTGGCCTTCAGATAAATACAAAGAAGTGTACATTTGCCAGCAAAAGCATCAAAGTCCTCGGTCACGTCGTTTCCAAAGACGGAATCCAACCAGATCCCGAGAAGATCGCAGCTGTGCTACAGTTCCCTCGACCGTCCAACCAAAAGACGTTGCGCAGCTTTCTTGGTCTCGCGTCCTATTTTCGTCGCTTTATACGCAACTTTGCTACCTTAGCGGCTCCGCTAAATAAGTTATTGGCCACTGGTGCTCCTTTCTCATGGTCCAACGACTGCGAATCTGCATTTGAAATTTTGAAAGAACGCCTGACTTCCGGACCAGTGCTGCGCCACTTCGATGAGAGAGCGCCTACCATACTCCATACTGACGCAAGCGCACAAGGCATTGGAGCAGTCCTTCTGCAGCGTGATTCCACCTCTAAAGAGCAGGTTGTGGCCTACGCTAGCCGGACTCTGTCAACAGCTGAGCGGAATTACACCATCACGGAGCAGGAGTGCTTGGCTATCGTATGGTCGATACAGAAATTCCGCCCGTATCTCTACGGTCGGCACTTCACCATCATCACCGACCACCACGCACTCTGTTGGCTTTCATCAATGAAGAATATGTCAGGACGTCTTGCGCGCTGGATACTGCGCTTACAAGAGTACGACTTTACAGTTACGTACAAGTCTGGCAAATGTCATCATGATGCCGACGCGCTGTCCCGGTGCCCACTTTCGCTCTCTCGTGACAATACGTCCACCGCATCGCGTTCGAATGACTCTGACACCCAGCTTGCCTCACAACACGTATCGCTCGCATCGCTGGATCCAATGCAGCTATCTTCGAACTCCGATTTACGTTCACTTCAGCTGGCAGATTCCTACTGTCGGTCTTCATTGATCGCCTTCGCGGTGTCACTAAACCACCCAACAGCCGCTTGCGACGCCAGCTTCGACAATTTCGCCTTCAGGACGGTGTGCTTAAGCGCTACATTTACCATCCCACCGGTAACAAGTGGGTGCCAGTTCTTCCCCGCTGCCTTCGTCTTCGAGTTTTGGAAGCATTCCACGATGATATTGCTGCCGGTCATCTAGGCTTCCACAAGACCTACGATCGCATCAAGACGCGCTGCTTCTGGCCTGGCTTGTCCACAACGGTGGCCAAATACGTGGGCTCGTGCGCGTTGTGTCAGCACCGCAAGCGATCCACATCCCCGCCTGCTGGTTTCCTTCAGCCTCTTCCCTGTCCCACCACACCATTCGAATTTCTCGGAATAGACTTGTATGGTCCTTTGCCGTTGACACCTTCCGGTCACCGTTGGATCGTCACTGCAGTCGACCATCAAACAAGATACGCCGAGACTTCACCTCTTCATTCTGCTACCGCCACAGAAATCGCCAATTTTTTCTTGAACTCCATCGTCTTGCGCCACGGAGCCCCTCGCGTCCTTTTGAGTGACCGTGGCAAAGCCTTCCTTTCCAAGGTCCTGGATGAAGTCCTGCAGGCGTGCAATACAGTGCATAAAACCACTTCTACATACCATCCGCAAACGAATGGCCTTACCGAGCGCTTCCACCGAACACTCTCTGACATGATATCGATGTACTTGCATCCTGACCACAAAAATTGGGATAACATTTTACCGTTTGTCACCTTCGCATACAATACTGCGGTACAACGATCAACTGGCTACAGCCCGTTTTTTCTCGTGTACGGCCGATCTGCCTCCTCGGTCTTCGACACGGCATTTTTCTTTGCACCGGCTCCAAGCAGTACCTCGCTCCCAGAAGAGTTCGCAGCCCGAGTCACACAATGCCGTGAAATTGCTCGCAAAAACACGGAAGCAACCCAAAGGAGAGAAAACATCGCTGTGATAAAAAACGACGCGACGTGGCCTTTAATGCTGGCGATAAGGTTTTACTATGGACCCCGGTTCGAGCGTCGGGCCTTTGCGAGAAATTTCTTCACCGGTATGTTGGCCCATACACCGTTGTACGACAGACATCTCCAGTTAACTACCTCGTCACCCCGCTTCAGTCTGTCACTGACCGCCGTCTGCGCAGCACGGAACTAGTTCACGTCTCACGCATGAAGCCTTTTGTTACTCGTTCGGCCGATCTCTGACTGGCGGCCAGGTTGGCCGCTTCGCAGAGGGGGGGGGAAATTGTAAGCACATTCCAAGCATTTGATCGTTCTCACTTGCACATACCCATCATCATCGTTCTCACTTGCACATACCCATCATCATCGTTCTCTCTCTTGGTGTGGTTCTGAGCCGAGCCAGACATCGCAGAATAAACGCTTCTGCTCGCCCTGCCTGCTCGCCGTACCTAGTCTGCCTGCGTCTTTCAATATACATATATATATATATATATATATATATATATATATATATATATATATATATAAGGGAAAGAAGTGTATACTTAAGGGCATGTTTTTTCGTTTTACGCACACACAATATCAATATCAGTGAGATCTGACAGACAATAATGCCAAGGAAAGTGTATGGAAGTTATTAGGCCAAATCGTAATACAAATGTGAAACGAAGTCTCATAGTCTTGCAATAGATACAGTTTTAGGAATAGTATTTATAATGAATTTTTGGATATAACAATGTGAAGAAAGAAAGATGGGTGAAAAGATAACTTGCTGTGGGCAGGAACCGAAGCTGCAACCTTCGATTAACACGTTCAATGCTCTACCAACTGTGCTACCATGGCTGCTATCTCCCCAGCTACATTAATGGGTATATATGTGAATTAAACGCAGCAGTGTCAGTCAGCGCCACTAGCAGCCACCAGTAATGTATATGTATGTATATATATATATATATATATATGAGTGTGTGTGTGTGTGTGTGTGCGTGCATGCGCACGCGCGCAGATAAAACGTGAAGAGCTAGTGAAAGCGTGGTGACTCTTTGAAGTATCGTTTGCTGGCATTGCTTCTTTGTTATAGTTTCTGTTCACTGACGGAGCGCTACGTTTTTCCACCTCGTAGACATATACACCTTCGCTGTAAAATGCCGGTTTGTGATTTATACTGAGAGGCACTCTTTTAATTAATTGTTTTAATTAGTGAGATGGATAGCGCAATCCCCAGGGATTTTACATGCTATTCAGTTTCGCTTTGCTTTGAGCCATTAAAATAATTCATCCTCGTGATTAGATCTGCTAGCTCCACATTTAGTTTAGGTGGTACAACAACCACTCTAGGAAAGGTGTTAGTCTTTTCATGGCCTGATATTTAAAAAAACAGAACACTTACAATAGGGTCATCATATGTATGAATCGGTATACTTGACCGATTCAGTGTGCGTTACGGATATTCGTAAACTATACAGAAAATATTTGTTTTTTATGAGTTGTATCTACCTCATTCGAAGAGTGAATCGAACAAGGCACTGTTTAATTTCTAGTCTAAGGTTTTTTTCTCTCATGTTTGTATTCCTTCTAGTGGAAAGGTTCATTGGTGATTGCAACTTCTATTTGCAGGAGTTCCCGCAGCTGGGTCCGCAGCTTCTGTTCATCCCGGTCATGAACGAGTCCAGGGAGAAAGTCGATGTGAGAATTATGTCCACCACATTATACCAGTCATGCACTGCATGTGTTATTGCACACACCAAGAGATTGTGACTGGAAGAACCAGCGATTAAAGCAAAGGCACCCAAGACATTAACATGTCTATACGGTGACACAATGCAGTTGCAAAGAAGAGGACAAAAAAATATGAAAACTAGGCATTTGCGAATATTCAAGCTCGTCAAGTATACGAACGAATATCACAGTACAGTAGACTCCTTTTAAACGACACTTGAAGGCACCAATCCTTAAGAGGAGTTTCATTTATTGAAAGATGAACAGGAGAGTAATATTCAAGTACAAAACCAAACACATTAGGGGCAGTTGTTCCATTTAAGCAGCAATATTATTAGAGAGTTTCATTTAATAGGAGTCTACTCTGTTTGAATTCGCTTCGAAACGAATCTAAATTGTCCAAAATTTTGAAGTATTTGAAATGAAACACACATAAAATTAACTACTGGAAACCTTTTGTAAAGGAGGTTTCGCTGCAGTGAAGGCGTGCTGTACCGTGAATACACCTATCTAGGGAAAATCTGCTCTGCAGTGAAGTCTCACTTCAAAGTTATAACACCATATTACCTAACGTCGATTCAATATTTTTGAAGTTTAAAAGCTTCTGCTATACCGGCTTATATGCTCTAAGTATATAGTAAAGTCAAGCTTGACATATTTTACATGTTATCACTTGCAATGTACCGAAACTCAGATCTTGCGACTATTCAAAGTTGCTTCCATTTCCTTTTGAACCAAAAAGAACGACATTTCCACATGCTTTGTTTCAATTTTAAATATATTGTGCACGTTATTTGGGTCATAAAAAATATGCTAGGTTTTCTTTATAGTATATGTGATATACACTATTCAAATTCACTTCAAAATTGTTCGATTAAATTACTATTCATCTCAAGCCTTAAATGTACTAGTTGCACAAACCTGATGAAAACTTGATGTTTCGTTGCTTTTTCTGCCTTGGCTTTTCGATGCTGTGCTTCAATCCTTCGATGCTCGATAATTTATTTGACAATCCAATCATGGCAATGTTAAGTGCTTGTTTTATTTCACATTTCCTTTCTTCACCAGATCGGTTTTCTCAGTGAACATTTTATTTAATGTCTACATTTTTAATTTTGTAGAGTCGCAACCGCAGTGACAAGGCATTTTTTCAGAGTTCGAACCCCAGGACAGGGTGACGTTTTGATCAACAAAATAGATTTTCTTGTAGTTTTGCACTACAGACTGGTATGTAGATTCGCTGTCTTTCCCTTTTCACACCTGAATTAGAGCTTTGGATTAGAGCTCTGCTGTGATTTTATGCAAGTTTCAAAAGCGTTTGAAATGTAAAGCTTTCTGAAAAAATATTGTTTTGCCCAAAAGCAAACATGTTTTGGTGGAAAAATCTGTTATGAGTTGCTAGAGCATAGGAACTGAGACAATCTGTAGACATTCAGAATTGAAATCTGTGCCTTCAAGCTCTCAAAGTTATGTTTTGGGGGATCTAAACACTTTCGGCATGCCAGCAAATGTTTTATACAATTTTTAATATCGGAAAGTCTTGCTTCACCTTGTGTGCTTCATCTAAACAGTGTCTAAAGGCAATCCTTCGTTCAGGTTGAACAATAATAATAATATCCGGGTTTAAACGTCTCAAAAGCACCATATGATTATAAGAGAAGCTGTAGTGGACAGCTCTGGAAATTTCGACTACCTAGGGTTAATCTTTAATGTACACCTAAGTCTAAGTACACGGGTCTCAGACATTTTTGCCTCCATCGAAAATGCAGCTGCCGCAGCCGAGATTCGATACGATCTTCGGGGTAGCAGTTGAGCGCGATGGCCACTAGACCACCGCGGCAGGGCATCATTTTGGTTGATTAAGTTAACTTAGGTGTGGGCACGACTATGTGTTGAGGGCAAGCTCTTCTATTTCTTTTCTCTTCTATTCTATTTTCTTTTCTCTTCTACCGTCACGACTGCAAGTTTTTGAAAAGTTTGAAGCAGTACTGTGGCAAGTAATACACTCAAACCTCATTACAATGAAGTTGAATGGGAGCCACAATTATTTCGTTATATCCATTATTTTGTTATATCGATTATAACAGTTTGTGGCAATGTATGATCAGATGGGCGCTCACCTATAAGCATGCAAAGAAGGGAAGCGGCTCGCGGCCCGATGTACCGCTACGCGACCGCGCTTGCGAAGGAAAGTAAACACAGTCGAATCTCATTAATTTTAACACGCTTAATTCGAACTCGCGCTGAGGTCCCATCAAAGCTATGTGTATTCCAATGGGGGAAAACTCCCTGTAATTTGAACGCGCAAGCACTTGCGACGGTCAATTCGAATATACCGCGCTCCGAAAATGCTCTCAGCACCATGGCCAATTCTGCTGGCGACACCTCTCAACACTGCGCTGTGAAGAAGGAAAAGAAGAAAAGGAAATAAAAGACTGTGGCAGGATTGTTTGCTCTTTCTCGAATGCCGCTCTGCGACGGGCCTGTGCTACGCTTTTCCCTTTTCCGTCTCTGCATGTAGAGACCCTTCTCCTTTCAAGACCGTGGCGAGGGAGAGAGGGAAAAAAAAAAAAAAAGCTGTCGCGGAGAGTCCTCCTTTCTCGGTGCAGAGGGTAGCAGCGAAGACAAAGTCGTTGGCGTCGTCTTTCGAGAGTGCTGGCCCTGGGCTTAGGCACAGGTTACTATGCTTTGCAAACTACGTGTGGAATTGAATTGACTCGCTGGAAGGCAAACGTGTGCAGACGCGCTTCACCGATTACTTCAATTATTGACAGATATCCTCTGATTTGTGAATAATCGTAAGTCTTCTGAAGCTTCCTCATCGTGTGTTCTTATAAGTGAGAGGGAAATCGCTTTGCACCGCGGCGCCGCTTCTCAGTCATGTGACCCGCTGGGCACCTTCTCAATATTCTCCGCAGGCTGTTTGAAGAGGACGGCTCTCTCGGCCGCGCGTGGCGTGGCTGTAATGTCGGCATGGTAGTTTAAAAAGAGCCGCGCCGAATGAGCATCAAACTCCGCAGAAAACGCTATACTTAACACACTACAATAGCTTTTTTTTATAGACTATTTAATAGACTAATTTAGTTCGTTATATCCATTTACCAGTCAATTTTACTGCGTTACAACGAGGTTTAAAATGCATGGCTTTCAATGGAGCTTTGAGGGGGAATTTCATTTACTTCGCTATATCCATTATTTTGTTATATCCCATTACGTTAAAACGGGGTTTGAGTATATAAAAATGTGTCAGCATTGGATGCATCATTTTCACATGTCAGTGAGCTCGATCCGTTGCATGCAGTGCAGTTTTCCACGTCATTACGACAAGCGCCTCCATTTACCTTGCAGGAACGCATGGCCCAGTACCTGGTAGATGTGGTGGCAACGCACTGTACCAACCCAAAGATGCAGACCCTGGCACGCAGCAACTTGATCCGTGTCCTTGGTGAGTGAATGTTGCAATCTTCTCGGAGCAGCCCTCTCGAGTGGCCAGTGTGTTTGTACACTGGCCGCGTCGTCGTTCAGATATACTCAAACCGCATTATAAGGGAGCTGCACCTTATGCGAAATCTAGTTTGTTATATCCGAAAATTTGTTATAAAAGTATATTTCTAACACTACATTTGTGGCAAGACTATTCTTCATTTGCTTTGTTTTATCCGATATTTTGCTTCATCTGGGTTTGTTAAACACTTTAACCTCAATACAATGAACAGAGATATAACGAAATATAGGTTATAACAAAGCAAATAAAAAATATTCTTGCAATAGATACAGTTTTACAAATAATATTTATGAATGAATTTTCAGATATAACGAACTTATATTAAGGTCTATCATTGTTATACTAAGACTTTAGTGTATGGAGGATTGAGTGTAAGTTACACTCAAAGGTATACAAGTCTGTCGCATCTTCGTGGGAAAGCGCTTCGAACCTACTAGGGGTGCTAGCAGCCCTAGCTACTCTACATGTGGCGTCGCATCAAGAACACTACCTGAACTAAGGCATACCGACTGCTCCTGTTGAGGGTTGCACGTTTGCACTGGCACTGAAAGGAAATAAAGGAGGCGTGTGAGGGATGTTCTTGCCTATTCATCACCCTCCCCTATCTCTGCTCCTTAACAGTTGGCAAACCTTAGCTGCCTCAGGCCTATATTGCCAAACGATCCTTATCTTTATCCCATGTTTTCCTTTTAATCCGTGCATCCCTATATGCATTTCAGAGGAATAGGTCAAAGATAACTGCATGTAACATTTGTTTAGAGATATTGGCCTACGTATCATGTTTATGAAGTACACTGAAGGCAAAGAGCTGGAAAGTGAGATGTGGCAGTGAGGTTGGTTTCTGAATACCTGGCTCAATTAACAGCTGCATTTTTTTTAGATGCGTAGTATACCGCTGGAAGAAGCTGCAACCGATGAGTTAGTTACACGAAAACCAAAGGCGCGTTTCACGTGCAGCAGCACGACAGGCACTTTACAAGAGATGTGAAGTATGCTGTAGGCTATATAATCTGTTTACATTTTGTATATGATGTGTCTGTGTTCACACAAATCTATTCCACAAGTTATCTCGCCTTCAAAAATTTTTTTGTCAGTACTCCTTTGAGTGACATGTAAATTGCCCATGTTATGAAAAGCAGTGTGCCCTGCTGAAAGTAAGTGCCTACCACTTTATGTACATTTTGCTTCGTTCATGCTTATATCGTAATTACTACAGGCCACATCCCCTACACATTTCTTGGCTTGACTGTCTGTTAGTTCTCATTGGCTTTGTGTGCAATAACAGCTCTTTCTTTCTGTAAAAAGCACAGTGTTCCAACGAGAGCTCAGACATGCGTATCTGTGTTATACCAGCATTGCAGGGTAGCCTGGACAAAGCCCTGCAGGTGGTGCAGTCAACGGACGAGGCCAGCGTGTCCCCGTGGGCGTTGGCCGATACTGAGGGATTCCTTGGTGGCCGCCTGGTAGGCCTGTGCCATTCCAGGTGCCTCAGCGTGGGCAGCAGGTACAGTCATCCTCAGTAATTCCCAGCCAAACTTATTGTTTGAGGGAGTAACGAAAAGCCTTGACTCTCTTTACGTGTCGTATCTACGTTAGCGGAGAAAAATATACTTACAGCTTGAGCACAGTCAGCTGGCATGACTATCTTTCACAAGGAAAGGGCAGAGGCTCCCACAGCTCTGTGGGAGGAGGTGGCATTTTTTTTTTTTTTCTAAGTGGCGAATTCCATTGAGAGAACAGGAGTAGAGAGGTGGGAGGCTCTGCACTGATAGCAGGGCCACTCTACCTGCCATCTGGAATGTGGCACGCTCCCAGAGAGCAGGTGAGAGTATGACGAACGGGGAGGCCACGTGATCGAAACATTCGAAGCCCCGGCATTCTCTGTAGGGCAGCAGCGAAATACACGTGACATTGGTGAGTCACGTGTTCTTCATTATCCTAATACATAGTACGTTTGCGCAACGACACATTCGGCAGACGTCCGGCTGTCATTGTCGCCACCAGTACAAAAACTCGGTGTCAAACTGCACATGGTCGCTACCATCGCCACCGCATTTGCCTGTTGAAGAAAAATTCGGAGACTGTGTCGTTCGCAGGTCACGTCGACTGCGCCTACTCCGCTTTTCACGCGAGAGCACTACAAGGGGGGAAAAAAAGTGCGCTCTCGCTCCACCAATGGATGACAGGGCTCTTACTCCTGTTCGACCAATAAAACACACTGGCTCTGAACAGAGCACTTCCAGCGTGCTTTTCAGTGCTCCTGTTCTCCCAATGGAATTCGCCATAAGTTTCAACCAGGCTATTCCGCCGATTGGCATTGATCGGAAAATAGCAGCAGCTGGGATTCTGCTTTCCAGGAGCTCAGTCCTTGCACTGTCAACTGTCTTGATGTTTGGACTTTGTATTTGGGGTTTTGTTTCGCTTGTTGTTGTTTTTTCTTCTCACGATTGCCCTTTCTTATGCAGGAGGAGCTGCAGCTGGAGCAAGCACAACATTAGGATGTACCCCGTTCCCGGACCATTATGTAAATAGATCTAGTCGATTAAAACATTGTTCACTTAAAACGTAATGTGTACGCTCATTGAACAACCGTTTAATACGATAAAGTTGAAGAGCTCGTTTCACAGACATTCCAGTGTCGGCATCGTTGGTTGTGAGCGAAAAATCATCTTGTGCGTGACCGAAAAATCAAGAAAGATGCAGATTAAATAAACAATAAAAATATTCTAGGTCCAAGTGAGGACTGAATCCGGGTCGTTTGGCAGCAAGCTGGTGTTCTACCACAGAGCTATGGGTCTGCTTAAAAATTTAATGAAAATAACTTCCTGTCCTTGGAAATGCAGTGAAAGTAACTTGCCTGCTTTACAAACACATGTGTCCTGTATACATGCTTCACAATGCAACATGTAATATCGCACTATTAATGTGTGGTATGAGCTTACGTTGCAATCAGGTATCAGAACATGGGTTTATCAAGAGTGCACGTTTTAAAGCGGGGGCCATTCACTACAAAAGGTGCTCACATGGGTGTGTACCTTTTGTATAGTGGGTGCATAGCAAGTTCAAAAAGATTTCACGTGCTCAATTGCCCGTGGTTGCCCATTAGATGTTACCTATTACACAAAACGCAGCCGTTTGCGAAAGCTTCACTGACACAAGTCACTTTGAACTTGCTATGCGCTAGGGACAGGATATCACTATCACGTTCAACTCTTAAAAGCGAAGTTTAAGAATTCCTCAATTTTAGCTACAGTGAAGATGCTATAACAGTGCCATTACGAATATTCATGCACGTCCATGAGGCCTTTGCCTCCTTACTCTCGGTCTGTAGACGGCTTCCTGTTGACTAAAGCACTTTGTAATTGGTTATGAAGACTGCACTTCTAGGCAACATTGTATGGCCCCAACATGTTTAACCATCATACTGAAAGCTACCTGAGGAGCGGTCATGTTGCCACGACATCTTGCAGGAGTATTAGTATCGATGTAGTTAGCAAGGCCATAATGCAATGTTTCATAAGTTCGCTAAAACCTAGAATGAATTGTGATAGACCTCAAAAGGCATTCACAAAATTTAATACTAGTAGTAGTGTGTTCTGTACTAAACAGAAATCGCTATGCCAAGGACATGGCAAAACATTCTTATTTAGATGCGCAGAAGCTTACTTCATTCAAAAAAGTTCTTTCTTGCTCCTTTGGGCGTTTGTTTCTTCAGTATTGTTACGTGGTCATGACGCTGACGAAGGCAGTAATCGGCGCGTTCAAGAGGACATTTTGGGCGAACATGTGCCCCGAAAATGAAAAGACAAGGTACTACCAGCAATTTGTGCTGTACACAGATAGTGGCAAACAGAGTGTCGACCTCAATGTCTGATGTGTCTTTCATAAGGCAGTCGTCGATCCTTCCAGTGTTATCGCTGGTTCTCACATAAGCTCTTGAATAGACTTGACGATTCGTGTCCTGCATGTAATCTTAGCAGAACAATCACAAACAACCACGAAACTACTCAAACATTGTGGAGCGGTTCGTGCCAAGAGTTTATAACACTTCTTGTAGGTGAAACCCGAATACATTAAAACAAGGCAATAAACATCCATGGCAGTGCAGAGGTTCAGGGCAAAATAGACGTTTGAAGTGATGAAAAAGTGTGATACTTTCCTTGCTTGACAGTTTATCATCGCTGAAGTTTTGTGGTGACTCAAATTTCCCTCATCTGTCACTGCCTGGTAACATGTTTGAATAAACCTAGTACACTGCATCGCACTAGCGCATTTTCATTGAGTCAAAATGTGCATCGACAGAAAATTTTGAGCGGTTTTGATTGCACGTTGAGATTCAGCTGTGAGTGGGCTCACTTCCCTTGAGTATATCACCTTTCGAACTGTCCTCGTGCACTTTCTCGTACGTACAGCTGCGTTTTGTTTCTCGTAGGTTTGATCTTTCTAACCTTGGGAGTTTTGTGGTTGTAGTTTGATTGATATGTGGGGTTTAACGTCCCAAAACCACCATATGATTATGAGAGACGCCGTAGTGGAGGGCTCCGGAGATTTTGACCCCCTGGGGTTCTTTAACGTGCACCCAAATCTGAGCACACGGGCCTACAATATTTCCACATCCATTGGAAATGCAGCCGGGATTCGATCCCGCGACCTGCGTGTCAGCAGCTGAGTACCTCAGCCACTAGTCCACCGCGGCGGGGCTTGTGGTTGTAGTTCGAAGCAACATTTCCGTAATGGTGAGTCTAACAATCGCATGTAATCGTGAGGTGTAAAAAATTAAGGTATCTTTTTAATCATACAAGCGCACATGTCGAGTCTGTATGAATGAACTTGATGGCATGCTGTTGTGGGAACATGCCCCGCCGCAGTGGTCTAGTGGCTAAGGTACTCGGCTGCTGACCCGCAGGTCGCGGGTTCGAATCCCGGCTGCGGCGGCTGCATTTCCGATGGAGGCGAAAATGTTGTATGCCCGTGTGTTCAGATTTGGGTGCACGTTAATGAACACCGGGTGGTCGAAATTTCCTGAGCCCTCCACTACGGCGTCTCTCATAATCATATAGTGGTTTTGGGACGTTAAACCCCACATATCAATCAATCAATCATGTTGTGGGAACACCTTTCATCAACTCTTGAAAACAAAAATTAACTGCCTCTGAGTGTTTGCATGTGGGGGCGCATGTGTGGTCTTTAATTACGCTTAATCAGTAGCACGAGCAGTTACTCTCTCCGCTATCTGCCAGGCCACTCATGCCTAGTAACGAAGCCAGTTGTCCGACAACCCTGATAAAATTAAATAACACATAAAATTGATAAATGGGTTAGGGTAACGTTTGTACATGATAAGAGTGGCCATTCAGGTACGTCACAAATTAAAATCAGAGTCATATAGTTGGTATAACTTTGCAAAATGGCAATTTCACTTCAAGCCCATCTGATAGGGCTCGTTTCGGCACCTGACGAATCAGAGCTCGACCACGCATGCATCTTGCTATGTGGCTTCGGCAGCGCGCGATACACGAACGCTGAAAACTTCAATAAAATATTGAGGGACTATGATAAAATGAATGGAATCAGCGCAACTGCCATGTTCCCTGACCTTGAGTCTTGCATTAGAGTCGGTTTATGTTTTATTTATTATATTGAGAGGTGATCGCTGGTAATAGTGATAAATGTTATTTGAAGACAGTTGCAGGGAAACAACTTTATTAGGTCCACAAAAGGCACAAGTTAACTCTACGTCACCTGGCTAGGTCCACTCAAGGACCCGCACGGGACCTCTGGACGGCTAGGGTTTGAGAGGTCAGGTCCTAGGCCTCAATTCTGGAAAATTGGAAAATGTCGTGAAAAATGGAAAATGTCATTGAATCTGAAAAAAAAAAAGCGTTCACGTCACCTTTACCAGGAAACTCTCGCACTGCAGAAATCATCATCATCATCAGCCTGACTACGTCCACTGCAGTACAAAGGCCTTTCCCATGTTCCGCCAGTTAACCCGGTCCTGTGCTTGCTGCTGCCAATTTATACCCGCAAACTACTTAATCTCATCTGCCCACCTAACCTTCTGTCTCCCCCTAACCCGCTTCCCTTCGCTGGGAATCCAGTTAGTTACCCTTAATGACCAGCGGTTATCCTGTCTACGCGCTACATGCCCGGCCCATGTCCATTTCCTCTTCTTTATTTCAACTATGATATCCTTAACCCCCGTTTGTCCCCTAATCCACTCTGCTCTCTTCTTGTCTCTTAAGGTTACACCTACCATTTTTCTTTCCATTACTCGCTGCGTCGTCCTCAATTTAAGCTGAACCCTCTTTGTAAGTCTCCAGGTTTCTGCTCCGTAGCTAAGTACCGGCAAGATACAGCTGTTATATACCTTCCTCTTGAGGGATAGTGGCAATCTACCTGTCATAATTTGAGAATGCTTGCCGAATGTGCTCCACCCCATTCTTATTCTTCTAGTTACTTCAGTCTCGTGGTTCGGCTCTGCGGTTATTACCTGCCCTAAGTAGACATAGTCTTTTACAACTTGAAGTGCACTATTACCTATCTCAAAGTGCTGCGGAAATCATTACACGATTAATAACGTTAATCTTCAACATGTCACGGAATATAAATATCTAGGCGTATTTTTCACTGCTGATTTGAGATGGAATAAACATCTCACTTACGTTAGAAACAAGGCGGTAGGAGCATTAAGTTTTCTGAAACGTAACCTCAGTAGTTTACCACAAAAACTTAGAGAGCAGCTCTATTTTACACACGTTCGCAGTATACTGGAGTATGCGTGCGTCTGCTGGGAACCATATACTAAGGAACTTACACATAAACTTGAAAAAGTGCAGAATAGAGCAGTTCGATTTGTCCTTGGAAATCACGACAGAATGCTTAGTGTGACAGAGAGCAGAAAAACATTAAATTGGGATCTTCTTGAAAACCGTCGTCGAAACCTCAGATTAAAGTTGTCTCATAGCATTTATCATTCGAGAACAGGGATCATTAGGCAATTCTATTTTCAACCTCCCAGCTATGTTTCTCAAAGACGCGATCATCATTTAAAAATACGAGAGATTCCTTTTGGGGGTGACGCTTTTTGCTACCCTTTTTTTGTCAGCACTATAAGAGAATGGAACACTCTGCCACCGGATATAGTCTCTATTGATTCTAGTGATGATTTTTTCCATGCTTTATGAATGTTTTTTCATGTGTTTGATCATATGTACTGTACCCTCTCTGCTGTAATGCCTTATGGCGAAGCAGGTACCTAATAAATAATAATAAATAAATAATTCTGTTCATTTCCTCTTGGTGGAAAGGGCAACCGGCAAAGACACAGCCCCGCAGGACCTGCTCACAGTCCTCATATAACCACCACACCGGGTTGATACGCGCTTGGAAGCCGTCTTGCAATCGCTGCTTGGGGTAGCGCGTACGTTGGGTGCGTAATTCGTTATAAGCGCATATTAATTACATGTGACGAGACGTTTGCTACGCACGAGTCCAAATGCTTGCATCCGCGCGACACGGTCAGACGGTTGAAATGCATGCAAGGTTTGGTTGCGTGTTCGTAGATCCCTAGATTTTTTTTCTGTTTTCTTAAGTGAAAAATGTGGGTACTTTAATTCGTAGTTTCATTGATGAGTCTCCGTGTTTCGTATATTAGGATGTGGTTCGTAGTTCGCGTAAGGTTCGTTGGAATTACGGAATAGCAGTTCGTTATACGGCTGCAATGGCATTGAAAACACACGTTCAAAATGCGCGTCTTTGCCGTCACCTGTTGTGCTGTGAAAAGCGAAACGGAAACTGTCGTGCCTCAGTGGATACGTGTCACTGTAGTTTGTTACGCTTGGCTAATGGCGGGCACTCCATGGTGGCGGGGTGCTGAACCGCATGAGGGCGTGTTAAGATTTAGTTGTACGATGCAATATTATTGCAAAAGTTGAGCGAGAACTATTTAATTATAAAGTAAAATTGTTGCATGCTTCGGCAAAAGTAAAAACCAGTCTCGAAGGCCGTGCTATTGAGTGTCGTTATACGTCACAGTCGCCATAGGTTTTTTCTGAAGCAGAGACGCGAAGCCTTATGCGGTCAGCTCAAGTACGAGCCGTAGCCACAAGGAGCAAAGGGGTCGCGGGTCATGTCAGCATCTGTGAAAAATCCTGAGCTGTTGGTCCGCGGTATCGCCGGTGCACCATCTGTCAGCATGTCTTCATCGCTCCGTCGGTACTGCGGTTGTGCGATCGGACTTGCTGGAGCGGGCGCGCCGTAAGCTGGCGGGCCGTGGCATGTTCGGCGGGACGTGCGAGCCCACGCTAGAGCAGCGCCGGGCATGTCAGACGGTGGGCCGAGGCCCGTCCCCTGGAGGAACTGCCAGCACTGCCCCAAGCCGCGCACCTTCAAGACTGCGGACGAGTTTCGGACTCACCTGCGTGAGCGCCACTGCAGCAAGGAAGGTGGTTCGTTCGTGTGCCGCTACGGCGAACATGACGTGTGCGCGTCTTTACCCGTCGAGGGCGTCAGTGACGAGGACTACGAGGCGCACGTCGCCAAGCATCATCTACGCGGCGAGTGCTGCTGGCCTCCCGACGCTGTGGCGGAGGCCCGCTGGACTGTCCACCGTTCGGCTCAGAACTTGCCGGCGGTCCTGAATGACCCGCGCCGCAGCCGTCGCGAAGTGGACTTCTTCACCCGCACCTGGGGAGACCATTTCACAGAGACGCCGCCGGCCGGCGGCGAAGGACCTGGCGCTCGGATCACGCGACAGCTGTTCGAGGCGTACTTGTCACGATGCGCTCGATCGCGCCGTCCGTGTTCGTCGTCTTCGACGGCGGCACCCGAACCCGCGCCCGCTGGAAGCGAGCTGTGTCTGCCCGCCGTATTCCTCGGTCCCGAGATGCGTCTCGAAGAACCGGCCACGTTCGCGCAAGCGATACCGTGGGCCGCCGGGCCGTCTCGACTTCTGCAGGAACGGCTCACCCACTACCTGGACCTTGTTGAGGTCCAGCTAGCGCGTCAGGTGTCCCTACGCTCGGACGCGTTCTTCCAGGCTGTCCGATCTCACGACGTACTAGCCGAGCGGCTGTCGACCTGCGCGGCCGTCACGGCTGGGCTGCGCTCCCAACTGGCCCGAGCGAGAGATCAGCTGGCCGGCGGAGGCTTGCGACTGCTGATGCTGTGGCGGCGGCGAGCGCGGCAGCGGTCGCTGTGTGCCAAGCTGCAGCTGCTCGCCACCCTGCACCAGGCGCAGCCCACGATCCAGAGGCTGCTGGCGAGCGGCGACTTCGCGCGCGCCCTCGACTTCATCGAGGCGAGCCGGGAGATTGTGGCACTCGAACTGGCGGGCGTCCAAAGCCTGCGCCACCTGGGCGCGCAGTTGCAAGAACTCGAGCGCCACATCGAACGCATGATGGCGGCCGATTTGGCCCGGGGTCTCAGCGCCGAGCTGAACAGGCCACCCGACGACGTGGACCCCGTCGGTCTGCAGGTGCGCATTCGTGTGAAGGCGCGCTCATGTAGTGCTTTACTATGCTCTTATCTTAACATTACACAGAGAGAGTTGTAAAGGAAGCAAAGATATGGAGATTAATAAGATATGACTAGTTTGCTGCCCCACCTTAGTGGTGGGGGAGGGAACTGGAAAGATACGATAGAAAGAGAGAGAAAATCAAGCTTTTTTTTGTAGCGCAAATGGCCCAGGGACCGAGATGAAGATGGCTTTTTCTTCATTGACATCCCTGAGCCATTATTGGAAGAGGGGGTGTGGTTGTAAGCGAAGAAGAGCACTGTTAATGTAACCAATCGAATGGACTGATAATGTTTCGAATTTCGTTTTGTGAAATTGCCAACCTTTGCATTGCGCGTGTATTTGTCTCATTTAGCTTTACAACTACATTAGAAGAATTTGCTTTTCGGCAAGTTGATAACTCTTCTTAGTGATTAGAGCACACCTCAGCACACTCATTCCCACGTAACTTAGGTCTCCCTAATTGTTGCGTTTGTGGCTGTTTGTGTTGGTGATCATTTTTTTCATCCAATTGCTCTCTAATCAATTTAACGAGACTGTGTTTCGTAATGCCACTAACCCCCTTGCAAGCTTTCAGCTATATTAAGGGGGCTCACTATTTTCAGCTTTCTTGATGCAAAGTATTTAGGTCTTGTTAAAGGGACACTGAAAAATTTTTTTGAAGTTTTGTCGGCGTTTAGGCTAGAGCATCATCAAACCATTCGCACCACAAATTTAGGGGAATGTCGTGCACCAAGGCTACTACGGACAATTACTTCTTACCCCTGCCATGCCTCCTGAACTCGTGAGACATGCTGGCGATCGCAGAGCCCTCATGAGCACTCTTCCGTCATTTGAGCTTCGCCCAGTCACGACCTCCAAGCTTGCACGTCAGCTTAGAAGTGTGGCAGCTTGGGCTAGTTGGTATGGCATGACGATAGTTATAACGCGAGAACAAAACGACGACACAGAGACCTTCTTGTCTCTGTGTCGTCGTTTTGTTCTCGCGCTATAACTATCGTTATTGCACGTCAGCAGCACACATGCGGTCTGGCAACAGAGACTAAGATCGCAGAGTAGTTAATATCTGCCCCATCAAGGGTCGCCACTTCTCTAGGCAATATTACGTGTGTTCCACACCTAGTCAGTTTAGCAGCTTGGGTGATGTCGTGCTCTCAGAGAATGTCGTGCTGTTAATGTGCAGTTGAAAACACATTTGCCTGAGCCGCAGTGATCTGCAGTGATTGGACCCTCTAAAGCACGATATTAAATTGCACAATTTATGCAGAGAGCTTAAATCGGTCTGTAAATGGCCCTTACGACTTGGTCTGCCAGCTAAGTGTCTGCCAGCCCAGTGTGTTTGTTTGAAATTATCAAAACCGTTTCAGGGTCCCATTAAGGGGAGATGCGTTTCGAAAAAAAAAAGAGTTGTGTTAATATGTAGCCTAGGGCAATAAAGTTTTCACTGTATATATAGGGTTTTATCATGATTTCAAACAAGTAATTAGTTTCATAGTAAATGTACAGTTTCATTTTATGCCTTAACAGTGTGTAAAGTACCGGTCTTTTTGGACAGACTTTTTCTGCGACTGAACTTTCATCTTTCTGAGTGATTAATGGCATATATTACTTTACCTTAACTGTAGAATGTAGTTAACTTGTAGTAACTGCTTGGACCAAATATGGTTTGCAGTATGTACTAAATAAGTAAATAAAAACTATCAAGGAAGTGCATATCAGCCATTTTAATGTACAAGAAAAATTGTAATGCGAGAATTCTTAGAATCCTCAGCTCATACTAATTGCTTACTTCGGGTTTGTAATAATTATACCAGGGGACCTCAAATTTTAAAGGAAATACTTGCACCCTTTGCTTGTTAAAGAGTAAGTCTGCAAAATTGCATCCCAATCGGGCTGTGAGAAGTACCAAAAAACTGATTTCCAAACTCAAGAAGTCACTAAAAAATGGATCTTCAGAAAAACACATTTTGAAGTTATAAGTGAAAGGTCATTTATGCTGAGAAGATATAGTGTTTCAGTTGATTTCTTCCGTCATAAAAGCTTAGCAATCATGGTTATTTTGACCTTGTGGTTTTAGTTAATTCCTCATGCAAAATGCTATGGCAAGCAGCCAGGTGACTGTATTCAGGGGACTATAGACAATGAGCTCTTAGTTTTCACTAGTCACCTTGGGCTCCTTCGAAGTGATTTGAAGCTGTTTTGAGTTTAATTACAATTTTCAGTTTTTTGTCGAGAAAGAGAAGTTAAACTTGTGGAAGCAAACAAAACAAAACATACGTAATTTTGAAAAAAAAAACTGGTTTTCGACTCGCATCTCCCCTTAAGCAAAGACCATATAACCCAAATAACAGTAGTGATGGGGCCGTATGCAAAAAGCTGGCATCAGCGAGAATGCAAAGACGTGGTCTTCAAAGGTGCGCCAGTCACATGCGTATTTACAGTTTTCCCATAACTGATGTTCTCTCAACCGTGGGCTTGACGGCATTTCGCCGTTTCTGAAAGGGCAATGTGATCTTTTATTGAGGTCACTTGTCATTTCATCTTGCCACACTTCATTGTTGCCTGCGTGTGAACACGTGGTTGACAGTGCTGCCCATAGCAACTAAAGTGTTGACTTCTAAGTACAGTGATAACGATCCGACTCCTGGCATGGGTGAAGGGACATTTATTAAGGATTATTGCGCGGTGTGATAGAAAAAAAAAATGGCTTGGCTTTGGGGACACCGATGGAACAGCGAAACTGATGGCATTTCCTTCATCGGGCTAACGCATTTCCAAGTTTCACAAGTCTCTCGGATATGTTGCATCGCTGGTCTTTATTAGACATTCTTTGTTAAACTTTCAGGTGGTAGTGTAGTTTTATTGCATCTTGACCAACCACTCTTATATACCGGTATACAAAGAAGCCTTCGCTTAATGGGCCAATAAACAACGCCCGAGGTCCAAAAATTTTTATAAAGAGAAATATGTATACTTTTGCTTTGTGAACATGCTGCTGCAAGGATGTTGCATATACGTGCGGGGTTAGAACATCAATCGGCCGCCCCACTTTTCTCCATCCCAATGATGGGAAGGCCTAGCCCTGTCGTTGGCACTGGTTTAGACCAATCGATCAGCTGCGTGCTACATAAAGTCGTGGATCAGTGACATTCCATCATTGTGCATGAAAGGGGGATTGGTCAGGCGTAGGAAAGGAGCGCGGGAATTGTTTTTCGAAATGGAGGCTGTGCGTGGTGCGCAGTGCTGTAATATTCGAAAAACGTGATCGCTGCGGTCTATTCTACGAATTGCCGAGCTTCTTTGGGTGCTGTAAACGTAAACGTTGGAGCTTGTTGACTGGCCCTTTAAGATGTTCCAATATTTTGTATCACTGCTCTTTATTAAACTCTTTGTTAAGCTTTCAGGTGGGCGACAGTGGTGCGACATTTGGTGGGCTAACTGGTGCCATCTTCCTTCTCAGTGGAAGTTGTGTGTAGCGGGATTTACCAAAATTCTGCAGCACATGTGTGTTTATGATGATGATAGTTTTTCGATAGGTCGCACAGCCCCGCCACTGGGGTCTAGTGGTTATGGAGCTCGACTGCTAGCCTGAAGGTTGCGAGATCGAATCCCGGTTGCGGCGTTTCTGATAGAGGCAGAGATGTATGAGGCCCGTGTACTTGGATTTAGGTGCACGTTAAAAAACCCAAGGCGGTCAAAATTTTCAGAGCCTTGCGCTACGGCGTCTCTCATAACCGTATCGTGGTTTTGGGATGTTACACCCCAGATGTTCTTATTATTTCTATGGCACCGACCTGTTTTTTAGGCTAACTGTTGACTTCTTAATTTTTAGCAGATCTGTTATAAGCAGTGGGATTTACCCAATGTCTGTGGTGCATATCCATCCCGGTAACGCTTGTGGGCTTACCACAGATCCTTGACATGAAATGCTCGACCAAGAGCGGCTACGCTGTTAAAAAAGAAAGTGGTATGTCAGGCATGTACATGCCAAACATCACTTGCATTGATTTTCCAGATGAGTCAAATGCTCCTGAACTCATTCAGATGCTTGTCCAGGAATTTTAATCCCAGAGTGCTCGCAAGCAGGGCCGTATCTGTTGGAAAATGACTTGTCATGTGCACAGGAAGAAGAATCTCTGACGGCCCTGGTGGCAGGAATCCTCCGTCTGAACCGGCCAGAGAGCGCGGACTTCGCATCGCTGCTTCGCGAGGAAGCGTGCACAGCCTTGCAGGCAGCCGTCAAGGCAGCACTGGCCGAGGGCATGTCGGAGGGCGAAGTATGGACCGCGCTGCTCGAGCGCGCCCTCGACGCTGTCGAACGTGTGCTGCGGCGCAGCTCCAACTTGGCAAGGTTGCAGCGCTACGCCTTAGCCGCGCAGGCGGCCGAAGGGGCGCCGTTGGAAGCCGACGAAGAAGTCCGGCTTGAACAGGCCAGACGAGGAGCGCTAGCCGCCGTTGCCGAGGTTGCTCAGGAACGTTGTGCGCGGCTTGTCCCGTCCGACGCACACCGCTCCCCACTCAACACGGGTGTCTTCCCAGCGCTGTGCCGCCGTGCTGAGCAATGTGCTGAGGACTGGGCGCAGCTGTGCGAACACCGCAGCCAGGGCAGTTTGGTGCTAGCTCTGCGCACTCAGGTATGTGTCGTGGAATGCTCAACACTTTTTTAAAGAGTTCCTGAACCACTTCCCCAAGTGACCACGAAATGAACTCGGCATCACAGTTTTTTGCTTCACAAATCAGTTGCCGCTAACATTTCTTGAATCGGTCGAAAAGCACTAGAAAAGCTACTGGTATCTGAGCGCCATTTTTCCGTGTCTAGGCAAACCAAATGAAAGAACTAGCTGTAACTGTGTCAATTCATGTTTATTGTTTGGTTCTGTGGATCTGCCATCAGATGTGTGTTCAAAAAGAAATTATATCGCTTTTACTACTTGCTGTACAACCTTTTTAGTATTTCTCCCCTGAAACTACTTCCCGCTAGTTGTTTCCATTTTTGGAAAGCATCCTGGAACGCACTTTCTGGATTGGTCCACAAGTCTCTTCTTGTGTTGTCCTGGATCTCCTTTATGGTTTGGAAACGCCGCCCTCTCAATGTGGTTTTATGTTCAGGATAAAAAAATATAAATAAATCTTGTGGCATTATTTTAAAGGTATAATGCCCACTTCATCAGCAACTGTCCGAGAACTAGCTAACCTCCCTGTCTTTTTGTTTTTCTCCTCCTGCTCGTCAGCAACTTCTCAAACAGTCTAACGAAGATTTCCTCAAATCACAGCACACAAACTCTCGACATGGTAATGACTGACGGACATTACAATGACTGACAGACATTCTGCCGTACTTAAAATGCTTAAACCACTCACAGTCCTGCATGCGACTCATACAGTGTTCCCCATATGCTTTGCTAAACAGCTAAAATGCTCCTTTGAAAGTTTTACCAAGTTTGTATCAGAACTCCACACACACACACACGTCAGCTCTCATCATCGATTTGGTAGTACTAATCCAAAGAACAGCTTGTTCGTGTGCTCACTTTAGTGGCCGTAGCCCGCAAACTAATGGCTAGAGTGAATCACGGCAAATGACAGTTTCTTGCTTAAGCTTGTCGTTACATGCGGTTAGTAGCCGCAGCGAGCTCTCTCTGATGGTTGGCACTCCATAGGAAAAGTTCGGTTTCTTTTTGAACTTCCCTCGTACATTTTCAGATGTTCAATTTCTTAGAAACTTGTTTTATTCCCTAGTATATAGATCATTATGTGTCGACTCATAATCACTGTCATCTTTTATTACTTGCAAGTTCTGTTTCTCTCTTGTGTGCAGTATGCGCTATTTCAATGCACCGTTTTGTCGATCGTCGCATTTCTCTTTCTTCTCAGAGCATCGTTAGTGTACCCGAATTCATAAAGTGACTGTGGAATAGGCTTCAGGAGCAGCTTTCTTTTTCTTGGTCTTCCATGCACTTCGGCGGAATGAAAACAAACGTCAAGTTATAGAAGTGCTAATTGTAGAGAGAGAGGGGGGGGGGAGACTTATGACGGCACTGCTTTACACCATATACAGCATGTGTCTAAAACAGGAAAAAAAAAAAAGAGAACGTGAATTTCAGAGGTTTCGTAGAAATTGCGCATGACACTCAGGCTATCAAGCACTTTGTTGACGAGGTCTGTGTGCTGCAGGCGGACCGGTTCGTGAGCCGTTTCCACGAGGAGCACAAAGCTAAGCTCAGGTGAGGTCATGTTTACTGTCGGAGACAGCGAGTTGAGCTCCGTATGACACTGTTACCGGGAAAAAGTGGTTTGGGCGATGGAGTAGAGTGACATTATTGCCCAAGGTAGGAGCATCACAATACTTCGACACCGTGTGGATGTTGGCGTATAAAAAAAAAGGCCCGTCTTTAAGGTTTTTGTTCTAGAATGTAATTGCAGCCTCTAGAATGTAGCTTATTTCCCATGACGTCCTCAAAAAAATATATTCAGCATTCTTATATTGTATGTTGTATTAATGGCTACCTTTACTTTGGATATGAGGTGTACAAATTTAAGTTTCATGTTTTTTTTTTTAAATCAGTAGTGAGAGGTATGGGAAAACTACCTTTGCAGATGAGTCATGCGTACAAGGGGACACACAATGAGACAGTAATTATTGCTGCCAGCCACCCAATTAACTAAGATTTAGTCATTAACTTTTTAATTTTTAGTAAATGCAGAAAGTGGGCATGTCTGTATTGAAAATTAGGGGCACTCATGTTTATTTACAGTTACACCTGGAAGAATTCTTCTGGCATGACTGTGCTTTGACATATCCTGCTGCAAAGTTTAATTTCAGTTTGGATAATTATGCATGCAAGAAAGCAATGGCACAAAACTTCTCTGCAGTGTTCCACAGGAGTAGAATGCATCGTCTAATCTGAGTGGGTCTCACGTATAATCTCTCGTCTAATCTGAATAGGTATTTCGTATTAAGTCTCGTCTAATCTGAGTAGGTAGAAAACGCAGGCAGAGATGATAACTGTTACCCTTTTGCTACCGGCTGGCAATAGCATGCTATGACTTATCGTCACATCAGGGAAAAACATTGTGCTGATCGTCATAACTTTATATGCGTAATCTTAAAAACCACAATTAAACTTTGCAGCACCCCTCTGCAAAATGCATTATGATCAACTCTCCATAAATACGTAGATTTTACATCATTTGATGCCAAGGTTATAAAGAATACATGCATATAAAGCAGGTGAAAGTTTTATTAAAAATACAGCTGCACAGGAATTGGTTGTAATTACAGCATGAATAATGATCTAATTATTGTACAGATAGTCATGCTATGCTTCTTTACAAACCAACAACGACCCACTCAAATTACATATGATAGTTATCTACTGCCAGTGATCATGTCTAAAAATATTTTTAAAAAACTTGTTTTGAATAGACTTGCCCCAGCACGTTCAACTAGGACCACATGTCCGCTTGAAGCTCGACAAGTGCCGCCATTTCTGGCTCAAACACGCAGTGCAGAGAAGCGCACTTATGAATTATGAAGCAGGTTCATGCCACTTTTCTTTGCCGGCCCGTCTCAGACTCACTTTTTCTCGTAGCTTGCTGCTTGACGCAGAGGTGTGGGCACGCGTGGACGTGCCGGCTGAGCTGCAGAGCATGGTGGACCAGTTCCTGGATGTCCCGAATGCCGGCACGAAGGGGGGCGGCGCAGCGCCCCACTTGGCGCTAGACGAGCAGCGCTACTGCATCACGGCCAGCACGCTGCTCGTGCTTCGCATGGTGCTCGAGTACTGTCACTGTGCTCGAAACCTGCCTTGGGTGGGTCTGAGCCTGGCTGCCAAACTGCAGGAGCTGCTGCGCCTTTTCAACTCGCGCACCTCCCAACTGGTGCTGGGAGCCGGGGCACTGCAACGTGTGGGCCTCAAAACCATCACGGCCAGTATGCTCGGTACGAACCACTGCACCCAATAGCGTACTGTGTGCACGTGCGATGCTCATAAGATATCGCCTCTTGCCCAAAGGTGCCATAAGAATAATGTAAGATTAACTCTAGAGAATGATGGAAGTTTTGCTGAAACACCTTGCTTCAGCTGTCGGGCAGTAAGGTGAGTGAAGGGCAGGCATGGCTACATCGGGAGGCCTATCTTGGAGGCGTGCGGGTCTGAACTGAGCTAATGGTATGTGGACCACTCAAACGTGATTTCTTTTGAAGTACTTTGAAGTCTTCAGCTAGAGCCCCTATTCGAGCTATGGCCCTGATTTTCGCGCCAAAGGACCGAGCCAGTGCTCCCCCTTCTACCTCCCACCATTTTTTTTTTGTTTAGCTGTCCTCCGTTACAGAATCCTGCAGCATCGGTTCCTAGGAACTCAACTTCGGAGAGTCCTTAGATATGCGCACTATTTCTTAGTAATTCTACAGTATTGTGTCTTGGGGTTGCATTCCGAGTTGTCACAAATTGTTGGAACATTTGAAGTATGTCGTTCTCGCGTGCCTTGCCACCTAGAACTTAATCTGAGGATTTCCAGTAAAAACTCCGATAAAGCATTTTATGAGAAACACTTCTTGGCTACTGTTCTACCACCGTCTTGAATTTTGGTTTGTGACCGAGCAGGGGCTCCCCTCCAAACCTTGTCCGATTATCTTTTGCCGTAAGGGGAACGCTTGCTTGGGAATTAGCGCTTGCTTCACATAAAACAAGCACTGCGACGATATTGCAATGCTATTTCAACAATCAACATTGACATCTGCCTCTGGTATCCCCTTAAGCAAGTGTTCTAGTATTAAAGATGCTTATCTGCTGCAGTCCATTTATATTGACAGAGCTGAGTGTGGTTTGTGCAGCACTGGCAGCTCGATGCCTGCAACTGATCATGGCCTTCCTGCCCCGAGTCAAGACGCACTTCGAGCAGCACCTGGTCGCCCGCAAGGACACTGCCAGGCATTTCGATGCCATCGCCAAGGTCAGTCCATTCGTAACCAACTTTTTCAGAAGTGTTGTGCAGTTTTGATCTGGGTCACATTTACGGATCGTGATTGTCTTATTCTGTGTAAGATGCAAATGAAAGCTATTCATGGTTGAGGAACTGGATCCAAACAGAGTTTCAATCGCAATTAGGAACAGCAAATCGTCCGCTTTTGGTGGTGCTCAACCAAATAGCCCTCCCCTTAATCTGGTGCAGATTGTGGTTGCTTTGCCAAATTATTTGTATTTGTTTCAGATCGTTAAGTATTCGCAACTTACTTCACCAACCAGTGCTTTGTGATATCTTCCTGTATTCTGCCTCTTCATAGCCATTGTGTAACTAGGAACACTATGTTGCTTCTGCTTTGAATATTCCTTCTATGGCATTCTGTTGTATTCTACCTCTTCAATAATTCGAAACATCATACTGCTTCTTCGTACACTCATACCTCGATCTAACAAATTTGGATATAACGAATTATTGGTTATAACGAAGTAAATGAAGAACAGCTTTTTCATACAGTATTACAAATAATCATTTATAACAAAGTATTTTCGTGGCAGGTGTAACTTTGTTATAATGACGTTTGAGCGTACTCGTATCACAAGCTTACTCCTCCATCCGCAGAGCACACCCTTACAGTGTTTGTCAAATTGACATTGATATCAAAGCGATGTGTAGCGATCATCACACGTTATATGCATTTGTACATTCCATGTATGTGCACCATACCTACGTGAAATGTAGAAACATGGTCAGTTTGGGCCCCACCTCACGTCAAGAAGCTGGCAGGGAGAGCAAACACGTGTCAACCATGATGGTGGAGTTTTGGTGACGTGAAAAATCAGCCAAGCAATGTACACGAGTGAACTAGCCAGTGATGTACTGTTGCGCTCAATAAGACTTGACACGGAAGCATGTGACTTCACAAGTTCAAAGTATGTGCGTGGCTTTGAATCGCCTTCATTTCCACAACTGAATGACGTTTTTTTTTTTTTAGATAATATACAAGCGAGAGAACAGTGTTAAGTTGTGGAAGTGAGGGCTGGTGGAAGCCTTGTACAATCTTTGAACCTCTCAGGTCACACGCTCCTGCCTTGCAAGTCGTTTGGTTCATAACGGATAATTGGGCGAGTTTGTAAGGATCCATGATGGGAACTTGGAAACACAACATTCACAAGGGAGAAAAACCAGGTAAGACAAGTGCTCACTTCAAACTTAGGTGCACACGTGTCCAACTAAGATGCCGAACAAAAACTACTTCGGCGCCTGAGGGTCACACAACTGTGGTGAAAAAGCTTTGTCCTGTCTGGTCGTTCCTTTTGTGTGTATCTTGGTCCTCACTCCGAGCACATGTCTGCACCCATGATGACAGTCACTCACTTTGAAAAGGAACAAAGAGGGTGTACTTTATTTGCAGGAATACGCAGAACACGTGACGGAAATCTTCGCCAAGTTGGCCAACATCGTGAGCAACGTGCTGGACGGGCAGCTTGCAGAGGTGAGCTGGGCAGTGTGCGAAACTAAAGGGAGGGTGGAGTAAGGGCAGCATCTGAAGTACTCAAATGTGCACAGTGGGAGGTAAAGGCGCCCGTGCCATCGCCGGCGTTCCGGGCGATCGCCCGGCACCTGACCAAGTTCCACACTGCCATAGCCGAGCTGCTGAGCCCGGAAGACGTGAGCAGCCTCCTGCAAGCGGTGCACTCCATGTTCCGGTCTCTGCTCGCACGCCACATGGCGCGGCTGTCCATAAGTCGCGACGGAGGACCCCAGCACGGGTAAACCGTCTACACTGCCGCGCTCTCAAAGGGTGTCGCAGGTTGTTTGACCTGCAGATTCACCGCCAACCCCCTATACCGTGTCCTTTCCTTCTTCCTCCACAGGTTGGTAACCCAAGAGCTGATATTCTACGCCGAGCATCTGCGGAGCCTGGGATGCCCAGTGACAGACACCAGCAGCCTGTGGCAGCAACAGGATGAGTTTATTGAGGCAGCTGCTGGGCCAGGGGCTGTGTGAGCCAGTACGCAAGCGCCGGCTGGAACGCGCACATGGCCAGGAGCAGGTACAAGCCCCGGCGGGAGCCCTCGGATGAGCTTCCGGACAGTAGGGCAAGCCGCAGGGTGCGAAGCTGGGGAAATAAACACCCCCGATCAACATACACTGCTTGCTGCCACTGCGGTAGCCGGGTCACTCACCAGGAAAAAGTCTAGTGTGAGGCAGGCGTAGGCGAGAACAAGCAGGTAGCCCATCCGGTAGAGGACCATGCTTGCCAGAAGAGCCGCGATCATGCTGCGAGAGATGCCGTGACCGTGGGAACGGACAAACGCAGATAAAGACTCCTTTACCCAACAAACTTGTAGCTGCTGAAGGCGATCAGGTCTAGGACGCGCAGGCTGGACCGGATGGAGAGGATGTACGTGGCCAGCCAGACCGCCAGAACTTCGAGGGTGAGCCACATGAGCGCCGAGCTTGCCTGCAGTCCGAGCCGTTCGGGGGTGAACCTGCGCAAGGTGGAGAGCTCGGCAATGCTGACACGTGGCAGGGAGCACTCACTCAAAGACACAGTTGTAGTGCAAGAAAGGGCCACTATACAGAAGACAAGAACACGTCACAGGTGCTTGTCTTCTGCTGTGCAGTGATCCTTTTTTGCACTACAGTTATGTCTTTGTGTAAGCAACACGTCCTCCTGGAGCACTTACTCATTGCGCAGGCCCAACAGGTAGCCTGAGAGCAGCACATACGTCACAAGCGCCATGCCTGTGTTATTAAAGAGAGAATTTTTGTGACATTGTATTTGGCCCTCCAACCTCCTGATGCTTCTTACTCGGAATGTAGAGATCCGGGGCGTTGACATCATAGCGCGGGGGCACTGGTTCATCCTGGTCGTATTTCACGGCCCAGTCCTTCAAAAAAAATGAAAAGGAGCGACTTCCTTATCAGCACCATACCACCTGCTACTACACTCGAACCTCAATAATATGAACAAATATAGCGAAATATCAGTTATAACACAGTAACTTGAGAATACTCTTGCAACAGATATATTGTTAGAAATATGCCTACATAAAATTTTCAGATATAACAAACCTGTTTTTTGTCTAATATACAACTTCGTTATAATGAATTATTATGAGTGTTGAAGTTCCCTCAATTCTTAAGGTGCAGGTTTTAATGCATCAGGTAGTATCCACTTACAGCACGGTTTGCTTGGGATGCAAGGTAATGGTATATAGAACACATAATATGCATAATAATTACACTACACGAGAGCCTCTGTATCACCATCACAACGAGCGCTGAAGTTGATTCAGCGAGCAGGTACTGAATAGCGCCACACTGCTCATGCATTTAATCCATAGCAGCCAAAGAAATGAACTAGAACATGTCCGCTGGAGTGGGGACATCCGTGCAGGTCAGTAATTCCGGCAGGTCGCGGTTGAAAGAAACAAACTTCAGCTCACCGTGTGGCTGAATGGGAAGAGGAGGAGGAGCAGCTTGCGGCCCACGTAAGCCGTGTCCACGGCGAAGTAGTACTTGATCTTGGACAGCGAGACGTACTTCTCAATCTGCGAGAGATCCGCGTCGTCAGCAGCGTTGTCGGCAAGCCAACACCTACACCGCCTCACCTTCTGATGTACCATGTCCTTCCCCTGGCCAGCCAGCGCAGTGCCGTACTGCATGGCCATTGCGGCCATCGGGTCGGGCACCATAGGGTACATGCCAGGCTGTGGCATACCGCCGTACGGAGCTCCTGGAAAGCCCGTGTCCTCGAACAGCTGTGGGGCGGCCGGTCGGCCTGCAAGCATAATCGAAGTGCAGTCTGTATGGGCAGCAAGTGACCCAAAGGTTGCGGGACCAAATCCCAGGCTGCATTTTGATTGAGGCAAAACTGGTGCAGGTCCATTTTGGCACACGTTAATAAACCCCTGGTGGCCGACGTTTCCGGACGCCTCCACTACGGCATCTCTCATAATCGTATTGCCGTTTTGGGGCGAGACATTCTCCAAAACTGTGGAGTAAGCTCTCCTGCTATGCTGTATGAACAAATAATAGCAGCCAGTCACTTACAGCCTGTTAAAGCACGGATTGCTCATGCTATAACGCGGAAAATGTAGAGTCTGCTCTCTTTATATAAACACCCATAGTAGACAAGCCATAGCACGTTCAACTAGGACCCTGTCTCCGCTTGAAGCACAACAGGTGCCGCCATTACTTGGACAAATATGCAGTGCAGGAAAGCACACTTGCGAATTATGAACAGGGTCTGTTGTTAATAGTATGTCAACAAGGAGTGCCAACAGGCCATTATTATAATGCCACCTTACTGAATTAAGTTGAGGTTTTACGTGCCAAAATCCAGGTGCGACTCATCGCATTTTCGAGAAACTGGGGCGTACAAAGGCGTACACGGGTGAAACTGAGAATGCAACACGCCTACTGTCACGCCTCGATGGTAAATGCTTGCCAAGTAGTTGGCAAGGATTTACCATATTGCCATTTTCAATATTTGCTACGATTTAAATTATTCAGCATTTATTTGGCAGGAGCTCACCAAAGAGCCATTTTTACTGTTTACCACAATTTACTAATTTATTTAGCATTTCCCGTAGCGACAATGTAGTTTCTAGAATGACTCCAAAGCACGCCGTGTTGGGAGTAATTGAAAGAATTGCCACACATTTTTTTTTTTTTCGTGCCCATCAAGATATGGCCGCCGTGGCCAGAAATCGAACCCGCGACCAACGAGCCGTCCTAGCCAGCACCGAGGAAAAAGAACACACTCGTTCTCTACAATTCGGTGCAAAAATAAAATAGACAGCCCATGTTCGGTGCTCACAGTTTAGAAGATTAATAGTATGCTGTCACTGCAGAATCCCATCTGTCATCATAGCTGCGAGAGATCGGCGACGCGTCAATTGACATAGTTGGCGCGTTACGAGCCTTATGTTCACTACGTTTCGTGTGTTTAGATAATCCACCACACAGAGCAGCAAATAAGAGGAGGCAAGCGGTAGAGTTCATGCCGCACTACGTAACGACGCACTTACCGCCGTAAATATGCTGCTTTCTCGGATCCATTACCGCACTATTTCACCACAATCTTGTTGACAGTCCCTTTAGGACAAAACGCGGCGAACTTGGCACTTTTACGCAGCTCCTAGTAACGGTAAAATTTCGCGTCAGCGGCTTTCAGAGTTAGATCTTTGCTGCGAGCAGCGGCTGACTAGATTTTATACGTGTTTTCAGCCATTTTGACACTAATGGTGATGATGATATCAATGATACTACCTAAAGTAGTACCAAACTCTGCCTCTTGTCACCTCTCGTGGCTCACGCTAGTTTACTTTTGACATTAAGTTTCATACAAAGTTAGATTGCAAATGAGATATTTGTTTTACATTCAAGTCTCGGAGGTCGTGCTTTAGTTTCTTAGATGTCGAAGAATAAAAAAAGACTGGCTGCACCAATCGCACTCCTTTCGCGACCGTAGCCAAGCCAAACCAAAGCGACTTTTTAGCGTTCGTAAACGTGCGCCGGTCGCATTGTAAGCGTAGTAGTGATTGTCGTCGTTGTTTTTACTACACCAGAAGCATCGTAGCGTGTGCGTTTTTCGGCGAGTGTCGCCATTCAACCAACGTCCGAGCTACTTTACGCCCACTTGTCTTTTTCACGGCATCGTTGAAGTCCTAGTTGCCGCTCGCCACACTACCAACATGTCGTGAGTGTTCTTTCCCTTTCATTTCGCTCGAATAGTCCTGAAATTCCAGTGCCCAAATCTTACGATCTCTGTGTGTTCGAACCCTTCCGCCAGGCTCTTGCAGAAACCGAAGAGTGAAATGACTCCGGAGGAGTTGGCGAAAAGGGAAGAGGAGGAATTCAACACCGGACCCCTGTCGGTGTTGACTCAGTCCGTGAAAAACAACACCCAAGTGCTCATCAACTGCAGGAACAACAAGAAGCTCTTGGGGCGAGTGAAGGCCTTTGACAGGTGACCCCTCTTTTTTTTTTTCTTAAACGGAATTCTGTCGCGGGACGTCCTAGCTGAGTATACTGCCTAGTGGCTCGTTCTGGATTCTTGTGTTGCTTAGTTTCTGATGCGCAAACCCGCACGCATGTTAGCTACGCGTACTATACATATACTGTACCGTTCAAGTTGTGATCATATAGTTGAGCGCTGACTGAACGTTGTCGGCAGTGTTGTACAGTCTATGATTTCTCGAAATCCCTCGAAACTTTCCACAATGCTACCCTATATCGCAGTGTCTATTCTCCCGGCAACCGGGATAATTGTTCAAGAAAATTTCTCCCGGCAGTTGCCTCCCATTGGCTCTCATATGTCACGTGACTAACTGCCGGGGGGGGGGGGGGAGAGGGAAAACTGGCATATACTGTCTTCATTTTACAACTTTTTTCCCCATTTTTTGTTGCAAGCAATAGTGCAGTTATTGTCCATACGAGACCATATGTTCTCTTGGTCAATCCCCCAGAGTGGGTATGAGCCATGGATTATAGGCTACAAACAAGCTGCGGGACAGACTGGACAGGTGTGGCCTAGCGTGGGTTAGGTCAAGTTCTCCCGGTTGCCGGGAGAATAATAAAAAAAAATTTGCCCTGCAGTTAGTCACGTGACAAGTGATAGCCAATGGGAGGCGACTGTCGGGAGAAATTTTTATGAACAATTATCCCGGTTGTTGGAAGAATTAACCACGACCTCCTCTATAAACTTACGACCTGCTCACCGGCGCCATCCCTATGGAGGCGTATGGAGCTAAAAATTGGCGTGTAGGGACCGGAGGTACCGCCAGATGCCGCCACCACTTACCCCCATAGCAGACGACGCACGACCGTTGTGGTGCACTCGTGTGTGCGCGTTCCTCTCATTGTTCTAGTTTCTAACGCGTGGATCGAGCAATCCACTGATTTAACGTCTCGAAGCAACATTCTGGTTGTGAGAAGCACCGTGGTGGATGGCTTCGGGATGCTCGTTACTGGACCTCAATCTTTGCGCGAGCACTTTTGCGTCCCCATCTAAGTTCAGGCAAACGAAAGCAATATGCGACACATAACCCAGAGAACGTAAGCCTTATTTCCTCGCTTTATTTTAAGCAGCGGCGCCCCACCTAACCGCTGTCTAGCAGCCGCAAACATAATTCGTTCGTGGGCGAGCCGGTGCGATCTTGCATGTAACAAGTTGAAACTTGAAACCGACGTGTCTACGACGTAAATGAAGACGACATACGGTACGAACGACGCATGCGATAACCCGTGTAAGTTTTTATGACCTGAACGTCGCATGGGATTGAAGAACGAAATTTTATTTCACCTGATGCCTTCACCCTTACAATAAAATGCTTAGAAGTCCCTTATGACCGCTACAAATGTGCATAAATTGCTTGCTCAGTGCTAAAAATTTGAATTTTTCATTTGTAAGTGGCTGTATTCACACTGTAAAATGGCAAGAAACAGACAAGTAAGCTTATGGTTCAAACAAATGTTTTATTCCCAGAACAATGGTACACTGCAGCAACAGTAGTAAAAATAATATGCTTGTCCAAACATTGCTTTTTAAGCATCAGATACCAGTACAGGAAAACCTAATCTGCAACGAAAACGTTGATACCTGCAAAATGCAATTTATTAGTGCACAAAAACATTAACAGTGTGATCAGCAATACCTCTAGTAAAAAAAGTGAGTAGTACAGCCAAGGACATAAAGGAATATATAGACGCACAAACTACCTAGCACCCCTTGCTTTACCTAGAGCCTATCAGCACTCCATCTGCAGTAACTACTGGCAGAACTAAAATTCAGCCCTGCTCAAAGCAAAATACTGCCCTAGGATCCAGTAAACACTGCTTTTGGGACCAGGCAAAATCTCCCAGATATCCAACAACTTTCAAATATTATCAATGCAGGGGTGAAATATCCTATGTCATTATCATGACCCGACTATTATGTGTCCACTGCAGGGTAAAGACCTCTCGCAATGATCTCTTGCCCCCGTCTTGCACACGTCGATTCCATTTTATCCCAGTGAACCTCTTGAATTTCATCAAGCAACCTAACTGTTTAACTCGGCTGCGTTAGCCATCCCTCGATATCCACTCCGTTGCTCTCGCTGCACGTTGGTTATAGGTCCTGTGCACTACGTTGCCTGCGCAGCTCTACTTTTTTCTATTAAAGATAGATGTGAGCTACCCCTGTTTATTCTCTGATCCACTCTGCTCTCCACTAAATATTGCCAGCCACACAATTGTCTTCCTGCTCATCAATCTTCTCGGACGGGGACCTATAAGGAGAGGGTATGTCTGGCCTGCAACATTAAGAATTTCGACGTGTTACAGGATGAAGCATGTATTAGAAGAAATTTGGGCGTGGCTAAACAAACACTAATTACACAAAAAAAGCTTACCTATTTTTCTTTGCTTCTGCATGAGGCTTGTCTGGTGACAGCCCTGGCACAGCACACCTTTTCACAGGCTGTCGCTCTTTTCGGGATGGTTCCTGTATATACCCTGGGTAGCTCGGGAATATTGAAGGTATGGCATCTGGTTTTAGTTTGCGCAGCTTCAGGCCTTCTCTGTAATCTTCTGGCTTGAAATGCAAGCTGCATACCTTGCTGCGGTCGCTCGGCTCCCATGGCTGTTTTCCTGGTCCTACAAATATTGTATTTAAGACCGCACCAGAATTATCAGTTAGTAGGCAATCGATTAAGAATTAGCCTTTTAGTAACCTTCACAACGTGACAGAAAAGGATCTCTAGTGTATTCACTAGTTGAATCCCTTACCATTTCAATTTACTAGCAGCTGCATCAGTTCAGGGCAGATCCATTTGCGCCTATTTCCCTTAATTTTGTTATAAAACAACGCCAGCGCAAAACAATAGTGTAATAAATAAAACAAATTTCTCAACAAAGCAACACCGCTGTGCATCAGAGCGGAATAGTTGAAAGTAAGTGCTCTATCCCTGACACGGCCACGTGCACGGAGTCTTGCGGCAACAAAGGACAGTACAACAAAGGAAAAATGTAGCGTGGGCTGCAGCCCCTTAGCCAGGAAATTTTTTCGTGGCGGGGGGCACTTGCTGAAAACCTTGACTATTTGAGAAAAACGCCTATTTTTATTATTTATTTTTGGTAAAAACACATAGTTCAACAGAATTGCGTGCCTCCCCCCTTTCCCTGGCTGAGGGCCTGATGGGCTGTGTACACTTTTGGCGTCCACGAATCCCACAAACAGCACTTGTGTTTCTAGACGCCAGCCAACAACGCTGAGCAGCATACATAGCGCGCAAAAAAGTTTTGAACTGCATTCCACTAGTCAGATCTTGCAGTGCATGCAATACAGCACTTTCAATGCCTTACCTTCAGCCTGTTGAGAGATCTTCTTCAACCACTCCTGTCGAATCTGGGTGACGGGGAACTCGTGAAACGATATCCCAGTTGACCGCCGATCGCTCGACTTGCAAAAAGGAACGCAGCAGTACACCATTGCGGGAATGGTGCTGCTGCTGTCGTTATCTAACGCTCCTGACTGCGCAGACTACTGGTGACAAGCGATAGCGGCGATAGCCTTCGAGTGCCACAAGATCATGCGAACGCACGCACGCACCAAGCAAAACAGCGGCTGCAGCAGTGGGGGTTAGTGGTGGCGCCAAGGCGTGCTGCGGCACTTTCGAGAACTAAAAAAAAACTAAACAAGCAAAAGCAAAACCGGCGACACGGGGAGCAGCGGCATGAGCAGGTCGTAAGTTTATAGAGGAGGTCGTGTCGCAGTGTCTATTCCTATTCTCCCGGCAGTTGCCTCCCATTGGCTCTCATATGTCACGTGACTAACTGCCGGAGGGGGGGGGGGGGGGAGAAGAGGAAGAACTGGGATATTCTGTCTTCACTTTATAAGTTTTTTTTCCCTTTTTTTGTTGCAAGCAATAGTCATTGTCCATACGAGACTATATGTTCTCTTGGTCAATCCCCCAGAGTGGGTATGAGCCATGGATTCTAGGCTACAAACAAACAAGCTGCGGGACAGATGTGGCCTAGCGTGGGTTAGGTTAGGTCAAGTTCTCCCAGTTGCCGGGAGAATAATAAAAAAAACTTGCCCTGCAATTAGTCACGTGACAAGTGATAGCCAATGGGAGGCGACTGTCGGGAGAAATTTTTATGAAAAATTATCCCGGTTGTTGGGAGAATCAACACACCCTTTTTATATAATGACTCTTGCTTGCTACTTGAGTGTTCTAAACCCCATGACATCGAACGCACCAGAACCTTGAGGTGATGTGTTACTAATCCACCTGAAATGTTGGCGTGGAGGACCTGAAAACCGTCAAGGGACTTGTCGAAATTGTGCAATACTTATATGCTCGTATGTGTGCATTCTGGCTCTACCAATTCGTAACGTAGAATATTGAAATGAGGGCCAGCGAAGGAGCACCTAAACCAAGGTTTTGGACTAGTAATAACCGTATGTTTCTTTGGACTAATGTGGGATAGGCAGCGGTGGAAGTTCTGCTCCAAACAGTGATTTTTGTCAGTAACTGCTCCAAAATGGAGCTGGGAAACGAAAAACAGTGAATTTCTATCGTGTTACCATTCATTGAGCCTAAACAAAAGCTGGCTGTATACAAGCATATTGACAACGCTACATCTGCTAACATTGTAAATATATATATATATATATGTGTGTGTGTGTGTGAAAAAGAAGGTGTCTTTGGATTCAGTGGAAAAATACCAAAAAGTAGAGGACGGGCAAAACGAAAACTTTTTATTTTTCCTACGTTTCAGCCGGGGACCGGCCTTCATCAGGGAAAACACGATACAGAAATGCGCTTTTCTTAAGTAGGCATGGTATATCAAGGGCCCCTGACACATGAACTATCACTATCATACACTATCTACTGTGTAGTTGCGAGTAATGAACAGCAGAGAATGTCAAAGCAATGTCAAAGAAAGATTATGAGAATGCATGAACGGTGTTTACATCAAGTAGATCACATGAATAGCAGTTTGAAAAGTACAGTAATATCTACAAACAAAACTATCAAACCCATACAGCAAATCACACGCACAAAAAAAGACAAGACAAAAAGGCACAAAAAGTCTTTTTTTTTTGTGGTGGCATCGTGGTGGCACGGTTAGGTCGCCGTCGATAACACGCAACCCAGAATTTCCCATCTCCTCGTCTATGGCCAGCTTTGTCGAAAAAGAAATACTAGAATTCTGCAGGTTTATTATGGCGCCGTTATCTAGCAGGAAATCCATTCCGATTATTACGTCTCGAGCATTCTGGCAGAACTAGGAAATCAGCGACATAAGTGGCACCCTGAATGCCGATCCTGGCGGTGCATCTTCCCAGAGGTGTTATCAGATGGCCCCCAGCCGTGCATATTTTTGGTCCACTCCAAGGCGTCAAAACTTTCTTCAAATCTTTTGCGATTGCATAGCTTACGACTGAATAATCGGCACCAGTATCAACCAATACGTTAAATTTCCGTCCGTCCATAGTAACACGCAAGTCTGAAGAAATTTTTTCTTTACTTATATTCGTCGTCATTTTCTGCTCGTAGCTGCTTCGCTGGGGTCTTGACGGAGGACCTTTGCTCTGTCGAACATCAGCGGCCTTGCCTCCTCAAGTCCCTGGCTTCAGTTTTCCTGACGTGGGCTCGTTGACCGCGTCACGTTGGCTCGCAAATTCCGTGGTGAACTTGAACGTCGCGGACTTGGCGATCGATAATGATTTGGTTCTGGTGACCTTGGCTGGTGCTGAAAGCTAGCGGCTGGAGATCCGTGCCTTGAAGGGTACTCCTCTATTTCTATAGGCCTTTCACCATTACGCGGGCATGGAGCATACACAGAAAACCCACGCAGACCGACCCTTCAGTATGGACAGTGTCGGTAAAGATGTCCAGCTTCTCCGCAGTGAAAACAGAGCGGTGTCCTGTCAGGTGTGCACCACACATCGCTTTTCCGAGGTCTCTGCTCTCCAAGAAAAGGTGGGCTAGTCGAAGCTGACTGGTGGGCACCGGGAGTCACGAACGAGGCATTGTGGACGGCAGGTTGGCGTAAAGCGTCTGCGTACGTTGATACATGGCGTTCCTGCAGGGGTTGTTGAAGTCGAAGAGGTTGCACTTCTGGTTCCGGCTGAAGAATGGCGTGCCGAACTTTATCACGGATAACGGATGTGAGGGATGAAACTGTCGGCATGACTTGCGGTTGGAGAATGTTACGAAGCTCCTCTTTGACGATGGAACGCACCAGCTCCCTGAGCGTCTCGTTGCTGCTGTCTCGCTTTGTCAAAAGGACGCCCGCGGGCTCACTACCGGCATCCCGATTGTAGTGACGGGCACGCTGCTGCAGTGCTCTTTCTATGGTCGTGGCTTCTGTGCGGAATTCAGCAACGGTACGAGGAGGATTGCGAACCAGGCCTGTAAATAAGTCCTGTTTGACTCCACGCATCAAATGGCGCACTTTCTTTTCTTCGGTCATGTTCGGATCGGCTCGTTTGAAGAGGCGGGACACGTTCTCGATATACATGCTGACACTCTTGTTCGTGCGTTGCTTTCTTGATTGAAGGGCATTTTCTGCCCTTTCCCAGCGATCCGTGCTGGCATATGCAGCAAGCAACTGCTGCCGAAAGTCTTCCCACGTCGCTATTGCCCCTTCGTGGTTCTCAAACCATAATCTCGCTCCATCCTCCAACGCAACGTACACGCGGCCCAATTTCTTCGCATCATCCCAGGCATTGGTTCTTGCGACCCGCTCGAAATGCTCCAGCCAGTCTTCTGCATCTTCGTGCGCGTCACCGCGGAAGGGTTCAGGTAAGCACGGGGGAGACACGATGAGTTCAGATGTTGAAGCTGGATTGGCCATTTCTTTGAGATTGGCGGTTACCGCTGCCCGTGTTGCTGGAGTAGTGAGGAGTGGTCCGAATTCAGGTGACTCATCTCGGAGGCGGCGACTTGAACGCTGGTGTACTGGAGTAAGTTCGCCAGGCTCCAATCGCTGGGGGTCAGGGCTTCTTTCTCTTGCGCCAAGGGGACTTCCAATCAGACCCCGCACCTCCACCAGAATGTCACGTAATACAAGAGGGGGAACACACACAATGATTTATTCAGGGCGAACTTGTGCCCAGAAAAATAGCTATGTCACAAAGAAGAGTCTGCTAAAAGTGTTCCGCCTACGTGTCCCTTTCTGAACAACTACTCCGTCAGTCTTCCCGGCTCGTGCTCGTACACCAGAGGCATGCGCTGCTCTGCCCAAGATGCGTGAGCAGGCGTGAGGCACTGCCGACGCCCACATAGCGTCTCGTTGGTTGCGAGGCACTGTAGACGCTCACATAGCGTCTCGTTAGTTGCGAGGCACTGCAGACGCTCACATGGCGTCCCGTTGGTCCTCTTTGTAAAATAATTAGTAGGAGCAATCTATGTGGCAATATGATATATGGCACAAGTTTTGTTATTCAAATATAGTTAGCTCATCTTACTTAGTGTTAAGTGACTATTAATCTGCTTAATTATTTGTTTCGTGCTATTCCAAGTGATTATTGTATGTGCTGTATGTTTGATAAGTCTTCATGTTTATAAGAAGCTTAGATGATGCTTTGAACTCCAGGAGTCGTTTGGAATATTTTGCCATCTGCTCTGAAAACGTCAATAGTTGCTTAAACCAAGCGTTATTTTTTTTTTTGCTTCGGAATCTGCTCCAAAAAATCAAAATATTGCTTCCATCATTGGATAGGGTAATTGGAGGTTTTGTGGAAAGGTGTGTGTAACTTTTGAAAGCTTTCACTCTATTGTTGATCGAACTGCCTAGCGTAACCGAAGCTGCTGTTAGTACAGCATGCGTTTCTTACACCTTTGATTGCTATCAGGTTTGATCCTGATGAATTGCTTGATCTTGATTGGCTCCTTTGTGCAAGCTGCAGAAGCAAGCCAATCACTGTTGAAAAATTCAATACCAATCAAGCTTAATTGCAATCAACAGTGCGCCATGTAAAGTCAGTATTAGCCTTCAAATAAATGTTTTCTCTTTCTCTGATAACCTGTGTTTTAATAATTTTGGAAATGCTCTCCTAAAACACTTTGGATATTTAATGCAGAGTAAAGTATATTGCATGGCAGCTGCACATTTTCATCCAAAAGCTAGACATTTTACTTTCATTGCAGCATGGCTCTAATATGGAGGTAGTTGTACTCGCTGGCTGTGTGTGAAAGTGTGGCTGATTTTCCATACGGACATTGTTTCTTACGTTAAAAGTGTACTGACACCAATTTTTGAGGCTGAGTTTACTGCGCCATACAAATATCCTCTATGGGATTGCTCCGGGCAAGTGTGATGCTCAGCAAATGCTGATAAAATATTTCATTTTGATTTTAAGGTCAATTTTCACACGGCATCCTAGCATGCCATCGCACTACAGTGTCAGTTCTACTGACTTCAGGCAGTAGTATGGCCAGTTGGATTTCATCCGTTATCCAAAACTACCAAGTGGCTGCTCGTGCATCACAAGCGCGCCACAGAGCGTATTGGCCGGGAAAATGTTGAGTGTTCTCTGCGATAATGTGACAAGCAAGTCGTTGTTGTGACATTCGAGCACATTGAGAACCGAAAAAAGCATTTGAAAATGTGATTAAATTTTCAGGACACGCTCACATTTATTTGCACATTTTCTAAACTCTAGAGGGCTTGTCTTTTTATTTGCTGCAAAACAACGGCTCTGGAATATTTTTGTGTTGGTACCCTTTGAAGGAGAGACTAAAGTGAAACAATCCATCGGCTTAGAGTCATAAACTGTACTCTAAAAACTCTAATGTCGTCAATTTCATCATAGTAGGTGTGTATTGATAGACGAGAACATCAAGGTCAATGTTTAATTTGAAAAATTCACACTGAAATTGCCAATGAATTTCAATTTATTTTTAGTACTTTGGTGTCATTGCCCCGAGGAAATTTTCTGAAACTTGGTATGTTAAATAGGGTAGATAATGCACTTTGTTTTTACCAATGAGGAATTGCGTAGGACCTAGTAAGTGCCATCAAAATTTACGACATTGCAAAGTTTGCTGTGAGAACTTCCAGGTAGAATTTCTGCCCGCATTTTCTTATAGCGCGTTTTCTCGCTTACCAAGTTTCTTCTTTTATCTTTCGTGGCAAGCATGACGATTTGGGATTTGTCAAAGAGTGATTTACGAATATGAGAAAAAAATGTTTTTTTTTTCTCTAGTGGCCCTTTAAACGTGTCATCGTATCACTGGTGCAGGCATTGCAACATGGTTTTGGAGAACGTCAAGGAGATGTGGACCGAGATTCCCAAGACGGGGAAGTCCAAGAAGAACAACCCTGTCAACAAGGACCGCTACATCTCCAAAATGTTCCTCCGGGGGGACTCCGTCATCCTGGTCCTCAAGAACCCACTGGCTGCCACCAAATCGTGAATAAGGAGCGTGGTGTATCACGCTGCATCATTTTTCGCAACATCTAACGCATTTTGTTCTATTTGTGAGGAACATACAATTCACGTCATTGCTGCAGGCACGGTCTTTGCTTGTGATCATTAAAGAACACGTCTACGAAACTGGTAAGCCTGTTCAAAGTACTTACTGCATTTATCTGCCGCGCTACATACGGAGACAAGGGCATCTCGCGTGTTGTAGCAGCTTTACGAGAAAGCTTGAATTAGTGTTCTAAGGCAACAACGAGAGCCACCTAACGTACCAAACATGAAAAGTAGAACAGGGTGGCTGTTACTACTCACATTTTGTGTTCTGACAATATATGTGTGGGCTTTTCCGGTTTTTTTTTTTTTTTTCGAGGTTTAGCACGTTTGCCAATTGCTAAGATAGCTAAAAAATGATGGCTCCACTTACAGCCGTCACTGTACCTCCCACAGATAATTTGTATCTCCCCATCTAGTAGGGCTCTTATTTTCTTGACATCAAGCACTCCTCGACTCGCGATGAGTCCACTTTCACATACAGACTCGTTTGTGTTGCTGGTTTCGGGTCAGAGACCTGAACATCCTGGTAAATTTAGTCAAAGATTCTGACATTGGCTGCTCAGCAAAATGTAACATTTAAGGTAGCAACAACAAACCTTCAGCTCTCAATATGCGTATTATTTTCACTTGCTGAGAAAACGGGTACTTGCGTTTCAGAGTATAAGCCAGCTAATATGACTGCCTTTCACAGGCAAAGGGAAGGCAAGCTGCGGATTTATGGCAGGAGCTTTTTGCTTAGGTTTTAACGGAGTGTAGCACATTCTATTCACAAAGTAGGCTTTCACAACAGTTCATTTTTTCTCAGTGGCAATACAATACGTGGGACTAACTTTAGCGGCTCCTCATTGGCCCAACAGAGGCATCCGAGACTGGGAATGTGCAGTGCCGTAGCAAAGGTGCTGTCGCACTGGTCAGTGGGAGTTAATCATTCAGTTGCCTTGGCCATGTGCATTCCCGAGAGCCCTCATTTCCAACATCAACTTGTGGCCGACCTTTTTTGAAGTTGCGGGGGCAGAGTGTCTGCAACACGTTACCGTGCCAGAGAGATCAACTGCGCTTGGCAATGCTTGTTATTTTCTTCTAACAAATAATGAATCCATGTGCATAGATACCACATTTTGCCAATTACAGAAACAAAACAATGAAGTAAAATTTTACAGCAAAGCTGTTAAGCTTTTCATTGTGCTGCAATGTGCAATCAAAAACCTTGCTTACCTGTGACATCACCCAGCATTGCACGAATATGCTTAGTCAAGCCAGTTAGGCCAAGCTATGAGCTAATTGAGCGAGCTAATTGAGCTCTTCATAATTAAGACTATGTAAATAAACTAGGTTCGCCACAAGCTCCGCTGTCAATGTTCGTTCACAAATGTTATCCCACAGCACATCATCCTCAGTGCCATCAAGCACGTTTGAGATGGAGCATTTTTTTTTAAATGCGCGGCAAACAAGCGCCCCGGGAATGCAGGCCCAAGCCTCGACTATCCACAAGCACAGCATCGCTGGCAAAACCCGTTTCAGCCGTCCGGCAAGGATCACTAGTGGTTCTGTGGACCTCATCCACTGCGCGTACTGGTGCTTGACGTGGCATATTAAGGCACACATCAAGCTGCTGCAGATGTGATGTCATCCCTCCCAGGATGACGATGAGCTTGGTGCGGGAGTCGCGCAGTAGTCGCTTTATGGAGTCGGTCAGGTGACACCGAAACCCGTCGAGCACAAGCATCGAAAGGAGCCCCAGCAGTGCTCCGGGCCGTCAACACCACACGGACTTTATCAGTCAAGCACTAGCGATTCATCCATCTACCTGGCAGTGTACAACGACATTTTTTGGGAACTTCTCCCTTTCAGCAGCGTCTTCGTTTGAACACCACGTAGAATGGTAGCTTGCAACCGTCTGCAGTGCAGGACAACATTACAGTCTCCCGCGTTTTTTTCTTTCTTAGTCAATCGCATGATAACTTGCCCTGGAGCCTATCTGATGCACCGTCAGCGCCGAGAGCATATATACAGGTAAACCGGCGTTTGATCCTCGTTGCCGATCTGGCCCAGCTGAAAAAGGACGGCACATGACTAGAGACACCCAATGCTTGCTTGCTTTGAAATTCTCCGGCGGAATGCCTTTGTCTCGAGTGATCTCCTTGCCTTCGCTTGCAGCGGCTCGACGTTATCAGAAAAAAGTAGGAGCTCGCTGCTCCCGCACAAAGTCTGCAAGTTCTCTTTCTATGTAAAAAAACTGCTCCATTTTTTAGTCCGCGGAAACTTTTCACTGGCCGCTGCAAGCAAAGAGGGCGTCCTTCTGCTTCCGCCAACCGTCAACACTCTGCTCGTTGACTCCGAACCTGTCGCTCCGCTGGCACAGTTGCCAATGGTTTCGCAGCTATAACAACTTTTGTTTTAAAAGCAGCCGAGTACTGCCTGCACAGTGCTGACGGCGTGAAATTGCAGGAAGAGAAACTGTGGCTGCCGTTATGGGTGCAAGCAAAGGCCACTGATCACTGTTGCACGCGTGGGTCTGTATAATGCCTGCTGCCGCAGCTAACACTACTTAGCACCGAACGCAGATGCGCACAAACGCTTGTTACGATGATGATAGCACCATACTCTGCCGGAACCAAAGCTGAATTTTGGTCGAAAATTCTTGGGACCCGCATACAATATGGGGCCGAAATTTCATACCTTAAAATTTAGAAGAAAAAAAAAAACCCAGGGCTATACGCGGGCTTTTATGGTAACTTGTTTTTCACAGTTCTTTGGACCTGTGGCGATAACATTAGATACATTGCACAAGGGATGAATTTATCTTCCTGCAAAATAGCTGCATCGTTCCTTAGCCTCGGATGTGCTGCGTACGACTGCGGCCGACCATTTCGGTGGATGCACTCCTATGTTCAACGGCTCTGTTGACGTGCTGCTATCGAAAGCCAATGACCAAAGTATCGCTTATCCTAGCTTGAAATGAATACAACCAAAAATAAATTGTGCATGCATTTAAAGCCTATGATTTGATTGTTTATGTGAAAACTGGCTGCAGAATAATTCAAAAATGTATTGAATGTTGATTAACATTAATTACTTCCCCTCACGCTAAACATGTTATTCATTATCTTTCTTGCAGTTTAATATTGAGAGCTTTAGAATTAAGCAGTCCGAAAATGACACCTTTGTAGGCAGTCTCATAACTCCACCAGAAGCAACTGTGCACTTGTTTTCATGTGTTTTTTATTTTAATGACTGAGATAAAGCAAAAAAAAACACCGTTTAATGAACTGGACGTTTCTTTTTTATTATTGAAAAACTTCACTCCCTCTCGGCGATGGCAATCAGGTGCGCGTCGACCTCTTGCTCGGTGAGCACACGGAAGTTCGGGTTCTCCTTGGACACGACACCCACCTCCAGCTCCGATGGCTTCAGGTCGGCCGACAGAACACTCGACAGGGCACTCAGGGCAAGCTGTTGAAAGAACACAACAGAAAGCTCCGTGTACACTCGCAGGAAAAAAATAAATCGCTTTAATCTACAATAGCAGGTCACAATGGTGCCAAAGCGCCAACAGTGCTTTCAAAGGGCACTGGCAAGAATGCGTGTTTAGATCCTGGTGGAAATTAAACAAAAATAAACTGTAATTATGCCAAAAAATTCAAGCATCCTTTTACAATGCTAGTCAGGAAAATTTATATTTTTGAAGATCATGTTTAAAAGTAGTCCGAGGCAGTACAACATGCAGCATAGCAGAAAAACCTTGAAGCTTGATTTTGGAGTCGTCCACTTTGCTGACCAAAATTAGTGTTCGAATGTTTAAGGTTGCAACAAACCTCTTAACTCTCCATATGTGTATTATTTACACTAGCTGAGAAAAAGGTACTTGCATTTCAAGTGTGAACCAGCTAAAATGACTGTCTTTCACAGGCGAAGGGCAGGCATTCACGTATATTATCTATCCCCACTCTAATCTGTTGTGCTGATGAAGTATAACAAGCTGAATGCAGAGTTTTAGCACAGCGTTGACGAAAGTGCACCCATGCTTAGCAAACTGCTCAACACCAAGTTATGCCACAGAAAGTATAGAGAATGTGATTAGCAATAGTAATTGTAATATAAATGGGAAGAAGAGTGGACAAAAAGGAACTTGCCGCTAGCTGATATCTCGTATACCTTCTTTATACTACATCACCCGTATTTTCCTTGGCATCATTCTTAATCTTCTAATATTGTGTATAACAAAGAAAAACAAGCCGTTACACGTTCACTTCTTTCCTTCATTCATAGAAAGGGTCTTGTTCTGGCAGACTAGACGCATTCAGGTAGCACGCGAGGGATCATTGTTTAAATGTTAGCTCTTAATAAGATCACGTGCTACGTGACGCCAACAGGCAGAAAAGGTGTTTCACACTTACCATCATGGCTAATAGTGGTGTTGACTTACACTCCCAGGTTTAAACGCACATACTATACTATACCAAATAAAGTAGACATGTGGGTGACTGATGGCACAGCGTCAGACGTGTTATTCAAAGGTCGCAGGTTTGGTTCCTGCCCACTGCAAATTATCTTGTCTTCCACTTTTGTTTTCTTCACATTTACATTGCAATAACAACATCCCCGAATATTTTCTTGAGAATTTATAATTCTAATCAACACTGTGTTTAACAGTATTCCAAACGAAATGCGTGTGACAATATTTACAACACAGACATGGAATAGGCGCTATTGACCTGTGCAAATGCATTGCTGCTGCTGAACGATGCACTCTTTTTAGGGAAGAAACCCTGACAGCTGCAGAGGCATGCGGCGCGCGACTGCAAGTGATTACCCATACTCAGCACAACCCCACCGCATGAAACATCAAATCCTGCAAAAACCGGCTGATGTGCCACACGAGGGGGCTTGTACCTGTATAGTTTCACTGGAGTCGTAGTCCTGGCGTTTCTTGAACTTCTTCTCGAGGTAGCTGTTGGCTTCCGTCTGTTTGACGCCAACGCTGGTGGCCCGGTAGCCGCAGTAGTACCCGGCCGGATCCGCCTTGTAAAGCTGCGGCCCTTGCTCGGGATCGTAGGCAATCAACATCATACCTGCAAAGG